GAAAAATATGAGACAAAACAATGGCAAAGAGGTATGACTGGATACCAAAGGTACTTTTCTAAACTAGATACTTCAGTTACAGGAAAAGTATGTTCCGGAGATGATTCAAGAATTGATATCAAAGAGAAGGGTACCATATCATTCGTAGACATGAATGGGGAGGCTAGAAGAATGACTGATGTGTATTACATACCTCACTTAAGAAGTAATATTATAAGTCTAGGTCAAGCAACGGAATCAGGGTGTGACATACTACTAAGAGGAGAGTACTTGACGATGCATGATCACAGTGGGAAACTTCTTGTTAAGGCCAACAGATCGAAGAAGCGGTTATACAAGGTTCGTATGGGAATTCGAGATGATGCGCAAGTACTCTTAACCGAAGTAAGTGAAGCAAACCGTTGGCAGCCAGATTGGGGCATGTTAATCTCAATACATTGAAGACAATGGTGCAAAAGGAGTTTGTCAATGGCGTCTCAAGTATTCAAATAGATAAAGAAGTATGTTGTCATCTTTCTTACTTGAGAAACAAACCAGGAAAAGCTTTCCACAAGAGACTACTTATCGAGCATCTAAGAAACTCGAGTTGATTCATGGGGATCTCTGCGGGCAAATTACTCCAAGTAGGTCAACTGGAAACAGATATGTATTTGTACTCATTGACGATCACTTGAGATATATGTGGATCATTATGTTAAAAGAGAAGAGTGGGGCATTCTGCAAATTCAAGAAGCTAAAAAGAGTTATCGAACAAGAAACAAGAGAAAAAATAATGATGTTCCGAACAGATAGAGGAGGTGAGTTCGTGTCTCAAGAGTTCAAAAATTCTGTGAAAATTCAGGTATAAAACGCCATCTCGCTGCCCCATACACACCGCAACAGAACGGAGTTGGTGAAAGAAGGAATAGAACCTTGATGGAGATGTCCAGGAGTAGACTTAAACATACACACATGCCGACTTATCTGTGGGGTGAAGCCGTGAGACATGCAACTTATCTGATCAACCGCATTGCCACCAGATCGCTCAAGAAAAACACACCATACAGAAGTTTATAAAGGGAGAAGACCTAACATAAGTTACTTGAAGATTTTCAGCTGCATTGGTTACGCCAAGATTGACAAGGTTCAACTGAAAAAATTGGATGACAGGTCAAAAATGCTCGTCCATCTCGGGACAAAATCAGGGTCAAAGGCGTATTGGTTACTAGATCCAGAGAAACACAAGATAGTTGTAAGAAAGGATGTAGTCTTTGATGAATCTAAAGGTTGTAACTGGACGAAGCATGATACAGGTATTGGAAAACATTTTGTTGTCACACTTAGAGAATTTGGAAATCATGGCATTAATGAGGTCATGGAGAGAGTTGAGGAAGAACAAACCATTGAGAGGCAAGATCAAGATGTGGATGTTACTACTGAGACAGAAGCTGATAAAGAAAAAACTGAAGAAACACAAGAACAGAGCACATTAAGAAGAAGTGAAAGAGTTACATCAAGACCAAAGTACTTAGAAGATTATGTGCTACTTGCAGAGGAAGAAGGAGAAATATTGCTAATGGTCTTGAACAATGAACCACGAAACTTTCGTGAAACGTGTATACTAAAAGAGTGGATCGAAGCATGTGAGGATGAGAAGTATGGGGTCTTGTTGATGTACCATATGGGGTTAAACCTATCGGACTTAGGTGGATCTTTAAGGTAAAAAGAAATGCTGATGGAACCATTAACAAGTATAAAGCTAGGTTGGTTGCAAAGGGGTATGTGAAGCAGTACGGAGTGGACTTTGAAGAAGTCTTCGCACCTGTAGCCAGACTAGAAACCATACGACTACTCATCAGCATTGCAGCAACAAAAGGATGGGAAGTGCACCATCTAGATGTCAAGACTGCCTTCTTACATGGATAATTGGAAGAGACGGTATACGTAACACAACCTGAGGGTTTCGAGGTTAAAGGAAGTGAAGGAAAGGTCTATAAACTCCATAAGGCATTATATGGATTAAGACAAGCACCACAAGCTTAGAACAACAAACATAACAAGATACTTCTCAATTTGGGTTTCAAGAGGTGCTCTAAGGAGCCTTCGGTCTATAGAAAGAGCGTGCATAACAGTCTTCTTGTTGTTGCAGTATATGTTGACGACCTATTTGTCACAGGAGCAAGTCAAGGGATTATAGAAGATTTCAAGAGAAAGATGGCGTCAACATTCGCTATGAGTGACCTAGCAAACTTTCTTTCTACCTCGGAATCGAATTGAACCAATATGGAGAAGTTATATCACTAAATCAGAGTCGCTATGCCTTAAAAATACTTGAGAAAAGTGGGATGAGTAACTGTAATGCCGCTCATATACCTATGGAAGCCGGGATAAAGTTATCAAAGTCCATTTGGTGAGAAAGATGTTGATGCTAAAGCTTATAGAAGAAATCTTGGGTGTCTTAGGTATCTCATCCATACACGACCTGATCTAAGCTTCACCGTTGGAGTCCTGAGTCTCTATATGCAGCAACCTAAAGTATCACACGGTACTGCAATGAAACACTGTTTGCGATATCTTCATGGAAGTACCTCCTACGGTTAAATTTTCAAGCGATCAACACCTGAGATACCAAGACTCATTGGCTATAGCGATAGCAGCCATAACGTTGATCCGGATGATGGCAAGAGCACTACTGGTCATATCTTCTACCTTGGAGATAGCCTAATTACATGGTGTTCGCAAATCAAGACACAGTGGCATTATCACATGTACCCGAGCTTATGGCAGGAATTGAAGCAGGTAAACAAGCCATATGGCTACAAGAATTGTTGAGCGAAGTGACTGAAACCGTGCAGCAACGTAGTTATCAAGATAGACAAATATCAATCTGTGATCTCTCTGACGAAGAACCCAGTTTTCCATGAAAAAAGCAAGCATATACATTCAAGATACCACTTCATAAGAGAATACGTGAGAATGGACAAGTTTGTGTGGAACACGTCTCAGGTGATAAACAAAAGGCATACATATTGACCAAAGCTCTGGGAAGAATCAAATTCATAGAAATGAAGGATCTCATTGGTGTTGAAGACTTATCGAAAAAGGATTTCAAGTTTAAGGGAGAGAATGTTGGATAAGTTTGAAATAACCTATGTTACATACAAATGGAAACGGAAACGGATTAGTGGAAGCGGAATCGTATGGAAACGCGGAATCGAGATTTTTTAAAAATTAGGAAGCGGATACGTGTTGGAAGCGTATATCCAAATATATATATATATATATATATGTACATAAAATTTTTATAAATTTTATAACTAAGAGTTATATGATTCTTAGTTAATAGAACATTTATTCAATTTATTATAATTTTTAATGATTACATATTATAATTGTGAAAATACAAATAAATTAAGTTTATAAGAAAATATTACCAATTAGTTATTTTAAAAATTTATAAATAATTGGCACACAATATTTGAATATATATATATATATATATGTATGTATATATACTCTAACAAAAACTAAAAACAGTGCATACATATGATTTATAGTATTAATATTAGTATATATATATATATATTCTCGCTATATATACTATTATATACTATAAAACATAAAAATAAATAATATTTTATTTATTTATATATGATATTGTGTTTTAAAATTGGAAGAGTGATTCTAAGATGGAATCCTAAGCTTCCAATCTGTGATCTCTCTGACGAAGAACCCAGTTTTCCATGGAAAAAGCAAGCATATACATTCAAGATACCACTTCATAAGAGAATACGTGAGAATGGACAAGTTTGTGTGGAACACGTCTCAGGTGATAAACAAAAGGCATACATATTGACCAAAGCTCTGGGAAGAATCAAATTCATAGAAATGAAGGATCTCATTGGTGTTGAAGACTTATCGAAAAAGGATTTCAAGTTTAAGGGAGAGAATGTTGGATAAGCTTGAAATAACCTATGTTACATACAAATGGAAACGGAAACGGATTCGTGGAAGCGGAATCGTATGGAAACGCGGAATCGAGATTTTTTAAAAATTAGGAAGCGGATACGTGTTGGAAACGTATATCCAAATATATATATATATATATATACATAAAAATTTTATAAATTTTATAACTAAGAGTTATATGATTCTTAGTTAATTGAACATTTATTCATTTATTATAATTTTTAATGATTACATATTATAATTGTGAAAATACAAATAAATTAAGTTTATAAGAAAATATTACCAATTAGTTATTTTAAAAATTTATAAATAATTGGCACACAATATTTGAATATATATATATATATATATGTATGTATATATACTCTAACAAAAACTAAAAACAGTGCATACATATGATTTATAGTATTAATATTAGTATATATATATATATATATATATATATTCTCGCTATATATACTATTATATACTATAAAACATAAAAATAAATAATATTTTATTTATTTATATATGATATTGTGTTTTAAAATTGGAAGAGTGATTCTAAGATGGAATCCTAAGCTTCCAACGTGTTTTTATATAGGATATTTTAGAAGCGTTTTGGAATCGAGATTCCGCAAACTTCCACAATGTTCCAATTCTGATTCTGATTTTGATTCCGATTCCGAAGCGGGAAGTGCACGCCCGATGAAGCTTCCGTGCAACGTAGGAAATAACTTAAGAATCAAGTTATGTATTTTCTACCGAGTTATGGATTAGGAAATAGGAAAGTTTATATTATGGTTAGGAGTTATCTAATCATACAGTATCTAATAGTTTTAGGATTAGATAGTCGACTATATATAGAGAGATCATGTGTTGCATAACTTGAGAGCTTTTGAGATTGAGTTTGTGTGCTTGAGTTTTTGAGCTAGTTTTTTCAAGATTAATAAAGAGAGTTATTCTTTATTTGTGTTTCTATTCAATCTTTGAAGTTCTATACAAATAAGACAAAATCATAAATAAAATATTTTTAAGAATATGATATAACTATACAAATTTAAAAAAACAATGGGAATAACAGCGATTATGTGACATAGTAATAAGACTAGTGTAAGAGACTTTCTGAAGAAAAAGGGGTAGCTTACTTAAAAAGAATGCAACAAAATAGAGAAATATATATATGATTTCGCTATTTTACTCAGAAGTGTCAACATCAGTGACGCTAATAAGGACAGCAAAACCAACTTTCTTGCGTAACCGGAGGACCAAACCGGCGGCGTCTATTCCTTCACCGATCACCACCACTTGATCTTTTTCTTCTCCTTCTAATCCCACAAAAGTCACTCCTGTTTCATTTTTTTGAAAAAGAAAATTTAATTAAATCATGAGAAAAAAATCAAGCAAGATATTAGATACTACATATAACCAAAATTGTCGCACTAGAATATTTGTATATTGACAATTTATGGAACCCCAATTTCCACTAATTTCGGTCTCTATAAATTAATAAACACTAAAACTGATAAAATTATAAAATAATAAATTTATCAATTTTAGTTGGATCACCCTAGACATAACAAAATCTGATTAAATATTATTGAATCTTTCTACACAATTATATAATTCAAATAATATTATGATTAATCAACATACAAATTTCTACATATATAACCAAATTAGGAAACTATGTATTATTTATATTTTCTGAAAATTAATATTATCTTTAAACTCATCTTAATCTTTATTTAAATAACTCTCTTTATTTATTTTACCAATAATTTTTAGTTTTACCGTACATTTATATATTCATGATTTTTAATTTATTTTCCAGTGTTACCAATTAATATCTTTTATTTTTTTGCTAAAATACCAATTAATATCTTGTTTAGTGAAATATTTAATAATGAGATATATATCTTACCAGTGGTTTGGCCTCCGATCTTGAGAGCTTCTGAGCGACATTTTTGGCACCTCATGTTTACGGACATCAAGATTTTCTGCTAATGAACATTCCAAGATTTTTATACAACACTAAAAATACTAATAAGTTTTGTTTCTTTAAGAAAACACCTAATATAAACCATCGGCTATATTTTTAGCGCACCTTGGCCATTTTATGGAAAGTCTTGGGAGTAAACGAAGGTTTTCTCTCGAAGGTGATTCTAATTTACGTGTAGGCTAAAAACAAGATTTCGAGACATGTTATATAGAAGACAATACACTTCTCATTTTCTTGCGGCACAAGTTGCTTAACGCGTATATACATAATTGCGTGTTTTAACAATGACTAGGAACGTGCATGGTAATTTTCATTGTAACTGCTTCGTTGTTGGGTGCTTACGTACAATTGATAAGTGTTGAATACTAGTATATATTGACTTATGAGAGTCATCGGACTGGTCTAATAAGTTATTGTAACTTTCTAGCTAAGCTGGTTAGAAAGTCTACAATAAGGATCGTAAGGAATTCACCGAAGGCTCCCTTGTACGAATTAAAACAAATTTCAACCTTAAATTCAAATAGAAAAAAATAATGAAAATATTTTGTAAGTAAATAAAGTTTGTTTCTGTTTTAATAGTATTGATATTAATCTTACGTTTTGAAACATATGGAATATTACGAAAGAATTACATTTCTTGTAAGGCGCAAAACAGACCAAACGAACGAAGTAATCTCCTTCTCGTATTTTGTGGAATACAACTGTTTTGAGTGTAGGCAATAAACAAATGATAGTAAGAGTTAATCTACGTGGCCTAAACGGAGTACCAGAGCCACTGGCTGCTGCTGTGTCCAGTAGAAACCCAATCTCCCGGAATCTCTCTACCACCGTTTGTTCCCCTCTCAGAGACTCAGTGGTGCAAACGGTCCCAAATGCCTATACCTGTTACAGGCCCAACATATTCATCCAAACCAACAAAACCGGATTATTACCAACAAATTAGCTATCTCCATTGATGGTCTTTTATGGAGAGATTATCTAATAAAAAATGAAAAAAAAATCAAAGAAGAAAATGAAAGAAAAGTTTCTCGTGAAAAGAGAGTTTCTCACGGAAAGAAAGAATCTCTTTTAGAGTTTTGAGAAACTACGAGCAACATTATTAGAGATTTTTGCTCTTGAGTTCTTAAACCATATATATGTATATGTATATACTGTATATGCATATATAATTATTGAATTTCTAGTTTTATGTGAAATCTAACCGAAAGTTTTTTATTTAAGAAATTTTCAGTTGTTTTTTTATAAAGTTAAGAACCCCGCAATTATATACGTATATATAATATATACATATATATATGGTTTAAGAACTTAAGAGCAAGAATCTCCCAATAATGTTGTTCTAAGAGCATGTTTATACGTATATCTTAAGAAAAAGGGATCTTAGCATTTTTAAATTAAAATAAAATAAAAACACCCATTAATATTAGAGAAAAAAGTTTTTTAAGCCAAATAGGTTTGGACATTGTCCCTTTAGGTTAAATTCATTCACTTATTGTCCCATTAGGCTAAATATTTTCTAAATGGCAATAATGCCCTTAAATTCACTTAAAAATCGTAAAAAAGTTAAAAATAAAAATCTTCAAATCAGGGAAAAAAAGACGAAAGAAACTGCTCTATATGACGGGATCGATCGATCACGTAAAGAGTCGATCGATCCCAGCGGTCGATCTCGATGATTAAACAAAAACATAAAAAAGCATGGAGCAGAAACTGATCGACCTTTTCAAGTTCAGTCGATCTACACCGATCGATCTACCAAAGATCGATCGATCTCTGTTCTAGATCGATCGATCCTGATCCCAGTTAATTCTTCCAACTCGATTTCATGGTTTTCTTCGGTTATATCTGGTTTAATTGATTTTAGGAATTTTTATTGTTTAGTTTTTTTTCAATGTTTAATTTTTTCCAATTTGAGAATTTCTTAATGCTTTTTAATATTCTTAATTTCAGTTAAATATTTAAAATGAGCGTTTTAAAAATAATAAAAGTAAATAAATAAGAAACTATAAGAAAAAAAATATTAGAAACTGCTCCACCCAAATGGATCGCTCGATCCCAGAATCAGAAGATCGATCCACACGCTCGATCTCGTGATTGAGCAGTTTATTAAAAAAACACGGAACATAAACCGATCGACTTTCTCAGAGTCTAATCGATCGTAC